GGTGGCGGAGGTGGAGGGCGGAGTCGCGGCGGAGGTGGAGGAGGTGGCGGTGAGGGGGTTCCGGAGAAGGCGGGGACGGCGGTGGTGAGGGGGGTTTTGGAGATGGGGGTGATGGTGGAAGGGGCGGCCTTGAGGGCGGCAGTGGAGATGGTGGTGGTGGTGGTGGTGGTGGTGGTGGCGGAGGTGGTGGTGGCGGCGAAGGATTGGAGGCCACGCCTTCAGAAGACAAAGGAGGTCAACCCGATGGGTTTGCAAACCATGTAACACACACACACACAGACACACAATTGGTTTGCAAAGGGAGGGGGAAAAGAGTTGAAAGGAGTGTTGTCGAGTGTCGAGGCAGGAATATGCATCGTGCCATGATGTAATAGATAGGCCTGAAAAAAGTGGGTCTGTACATATTGGCATGCAATTTGTCGCATGCTGGAGGGAAAGCGCACGTACATAAACGTATGCATGTAATGCACTAACGGGGGTTCAGTTGGGATGTACAGCAGCTGTCCACGGAAGCCAGGAGGGGGGTAGATCATGGTGGTGGAGAGTTGGCGGCTATATCTTCGTGGACGTCTGCCGTACATTTCTGGGTATTACAACCAACTCATATCATGTTGTACATGATTGTGCAAAACATTAATCTTTTCAACCAGGACTGCAGAGCTCGCAGATGCGTCAGTAGGGGATGGTGGTTGTGGTTGTGGTGGCTGTCGTTTAGGATGGCACAGGCGTCGCCGACGGTTACGTGCTAGCATCTTGAGTGACCTTTTGCAGTACCCTGAGTTACCATCCTGGCGAGTGAGTCCTTTTCTGAAAGTAATGCAGGATATATAACACCTTTTCGGTGGGCGGCTGCTATATACCGTACTACCATTAAATATTCGGGAGGTACCCCGAATTAATGGCACGTGATAATAGCCTTACCAAATGAGAGACCACCACTCCGCAACAACCTCACCCGTCGGACCTCCAAATACAAACTTCTTAGGTGCAGGAACACATTATCCTTGCAATAACATCGCTAAGAATGTATACGACAGCTACTCGTGCGAGGCAGTCGACCCGCTTCGATTAAGGGCTTCTCTTAAGCTTCCGCCTGGCGCATCTCCTAGACTTGGGCAGGAGGTTGAAGGTCCCAGGCTATGTTTTGAGGCACAGGAACAACGTCAGGGCCAGGGGAGCCGGGCGGCGGCGGGGCAGGGGCAGGAGAGCTCCCACAGCACGCAAGCCTTGGGTGGTGAAGCTGCAGAGCCAGAGCCGGATGGCGAGAACGAGAGCGGGCCGGATGAGAGCGATAGCAGTGGGGAGAGTGAAGCCTCCTTCTGATAGCTATGGCGACGGCGGGGAGAGCGATTTTTGGGGAGGAGGATGTCGAGCAGCAGGTGGCGGTCGCTGGCCAGTCCGCCCGCCAGCGCAGCGCTTCATCGTATCCCGCTCACTACCGGTCACGATGACGTGCATGCTCCGGCTCATTCGCTCGCATGCATGCTTGCGAATGTTGTTGAACCCAACACCCGAACTGCGCATGTTTTGAACATGAAAACTGCTCGGCCACGTGCCGCGCATACAGCACCTGGCTTATCCTAGGAAAGGATTGGGGTTCCTGGAGGTATTAAACCTGGGGACGTGGATGCTGTGGAGCAATCTGACGTCTAACAATCCAGATGTGATTCGTCATTTTTGTTTTCAGATGTGACACCAAGTCTCGGCCATCCTCCCAGGCTATCGTGGGAGCTATGAAGGGGGGCCTCGCGAGGGTACGAACCTTCTGGCGTATACATACGTCACACGTATCGCCCGCGTCCCGTAAGTCCGGACCACAGGAACAGCTAACCTAGCTCAAGACATATTCAATGCAACGCAAATTAATATGTTTCGGATAAAATCGGCTTTAAATGACTGTTAGTAAATGCGCCGAAGAACTGAATTGGACTGCCGGGTGGAGCTAATCAACTCTAAGTCGGCATAGTTGCCAGCCCTGGTCGCCAGAAATGTTTGGCGATTTACATAATAAAGAAATAAACCATTTTGCACAACGGAATCTGTGGTATAATAGTGTTGTTAAAGTCAGAGCTGGCAAAAGCAACCGACATTTTCTATGTGTTCAACCGCTGCTATATGTATTTCTTTTACGCAGCAAAATGGTAATGATGGATGTTTCCAGAGGCGGCGGGAAGAATTTATTGCCATTGCAGTCGACTTCCGTTCACTAGCATAGCGTAACAAGACAAGGCCGCAGGCACAGTGCTGGGGGCCTTTTGGTCCCCCTGTGGAAATCTAATAAATCCATGAGCAAGCAAGGTTATACGTATTCTGTTTTCGCCCGCCGCCGGAGCAACCTTCAAAAAGACCTAGGTTTTGGAGTTATTTCGGCTCATTATACATATAAATTCTAAGATAGTACAAGGTAATAAAATCCTATATGAATCCTGAATCATACCTTAAATGCTTCTAATAACTTATTCGCTTGGTTGCATGGCAGGCATAACCGCATTAGTAGAAAGGTAAAATTGTAATAACTAATTATATACCTTCGGCAGGCTGCGGAGCAATGAACAATTGGCAAACCAGCAGCACCAGAAGCAATTTCGAGACGCTGTTAATCCACGGGAGAGCTGCTGCCACGGGCGAGGTCGACAACGGCGAAGCCATCCTCCCCGGTTTCACTTGGCATGCATGTTGCCAGCAGCAGGTGCATGTAGCAGGTTCCATGTAACGGCATATCGTTTAGTTGTTTGACAGCATAGTAATGTGGTTAACAACCAGCAGCCGGCGCCGAAACGGCGACGCAATAATGCGGAGGGCAAGGGCTCAAGAGGTAATACCTGCCTGCGCCACCGCAGCTGCTAACTGGCTCCTACTGGCGTAATAACCCAGTCCTCGCTTGGTGACAACTATTGCCCGTGGTAGCGCTGAAGAGAGCGTTGTATTTGCGACTAAGTCTCTCGCGCGCTGTCTCTGAAGGGAAACGTCTGAAAAGGAAGCGAAAGGAAGCCGCTTATCCTACTGCTGACGAGTTGCCTTATTAGATGCTACGTCGTCAAAATGAAGTGGTTATGCCCTCTTTGAAGTACTGACGTAATTAAGTCGTCTTTGGGCAACTTCAGAAATTTACATGCATGGTCAGGACTTATACATATATATACCGTGACATGCCAGCCCTCCAGTGACCTCGTATATTCAAGTACACATAACCCACCAAACTCGTACATAGGCCCACGACACAGCAAAACAAGCAACTAACCAAAATAAGTAGTGGAAGCTTACCGAAACGTGTTTTACAGCAACCATGCTATTTAAAGAAGGACCAAGTTATTTCTGGGAGGTTCCCGTAGGATTAAGTGGCGGGCGAGTAGCTACGGACTACGATGAAATCTGGTTCGAGTCGCAGGGCGGACATTCACATGGCATCCATATTTTGCTGATAGTTCTGGATTAATATTAAATTTTTACAATTCTTAATCCAAAATTTAAGCTGTAACTTCGTTGGGTGGAAGGAATAATTTACTCATACCTGAAACGCTTTCAAACTTAATGGACGAGCGTTCATCGCCCGCCCACGTACCGCGACGTGGGCCTTCCCCGTTTCACTGTTTAGAGCTTGCGATAGACTGGTCCACGAAGCCTGAAAGCGGGCATGTGGAGCACATGTGAAGCACGGACCCTTGGTGTCAGCCACAAGGGAGATGAGCTAAACCTACCCAGGCATGGCAAAGACCCCGTCGTCCACACATCCAGGCATTTCCGTGAGGCCTCACATACAATGGTCCAGTCTTGCTACGCGCTATCCATCCAAGAGGTCATCCATAATCGATGTAGCTTTTCATGTATCTCTTTCCGCCACACCGGCGCTCACGCAATTGCTCACACCGCCTCACACCTAAAGCCCAGTCGCTACCATAGCATGAAATTTCGCGCACAGACTATTACTTCAACCTATTGTTTACTTCATCTCAACACAAGATGCTGCCCCAGTCCATGAGGGCTACTTGCATCGAGCAGGCCGACAAATATTTGCCACCACGACATCTTTTGCGTCACCTGCTTTATTCCAATTGTTACGGCGTTTCCAAATCAAATGCAAATGGGCAGGCGTAGGCCTGAAGGCTGACTAAGTAGTTCGCAACCGTGTTTATTAGGATGTAGGCATTCAGATCCGGCTTACCTGATGAAATTCAATATGAGCTTTCTTAACGTGTATGTTGTCATCCAAGCTGCAGGCGTCCCACCGAGACGCGACTCTTTTCGACGGGCATGCAATTCTCACAAGTTCCTCTACACTCCATTGCATAGGAGATATTGTTTGATTGTAAATGCGGTGCTAGCGATCATGGCGATAGCTATTTGGTAAGTATCCAAGCATGACACTGTGTCAATTAATCCGGAGGAGTTCCCGGACACTGTCACAGTGTCCCGGAACTCCTCCGCATTGTCCGGATTTGCTTTGTGGGTCGAACGATTATCAGGTTACCATACAGGGTACTCTTTTCCATCGATGTACCTTATGTTTCACAGAAGACATGTATGTTTCACAATGTCTTCTGCAAACTCCATACATTTCTTAAAGGCATACTTGTAAGAGATCACACCTGTAAGAAATTGTCTGCGAATTAAGTTAATAGGAATTATCGGGTGTTTCTGGTGAAGCAGCTGGCTGTCTTTATTGAAGCTTCGTTGGATGCGGCCGTACGGTGGCAGTAGTGGCGGGAAGGAGAACGGCGGGAAGGAGAACGGTAGTGCGGGAACGACGCACGGGAAGGAGAATGGTAGTGTGCACGCCGCAGTCTGCAGCATAGGAGGCGCTTGTGTGTATGTGGAAGTGTTAGGTGGGTGGGTGGAAGCAGGTGGAGGCCAGCAGTGTGGATATGGACAGCTTGGTCAGACGGCCGGACACACATCGCATCCGTTTACACACACGTTGAAGAAGGGAAAATGTATCGCGCCCCGGCACTGTCGACGACACAAAGTTTGTAGAACTGCGGTGCACTTAAGGGCGCGGCTGTGCAATGAGCGGTGGGGATGTAGGCAGGTCTTTAGGCACCAAGACAAGCGGCCGGCTGTCGTGGATGAAAGTTCAGACCAGTTTTTCCTTAAAGAAATGCAACGCACGCTGCATGAGGGTGCTGCGAAACACACCTGATGGGCCAGCAACCGTTGCTATCATCGGCCTGTCGCGCCGACCGAGGCTGCATGCTGGCTGCATGTGCCCAGGTTTAATGCCGCTAGGTGATTGCATAAGAAATCACACGGCGTTGCAGGCCTGGAGTGAGTGGAGCCCTAGGGCTCCACTCGGGTCGGACGAAGGCCAGCACCGCCCTTGCAGGCAAGGCGGTGTAAGTTGCCCATGCCCGCAGCGTGATTGCGACGTCCGTACTTTTATGGCTGCCCTTTGCGACCTAGTCGCCGGGCCTCTCAGCAAACCATGCTGGCGAAGTCTCTTATTCCATTGAAAGTTCCCTTTTTACATCATTTTGCCGCTTTCTTCCCGCGTCGCCGCGAGCTGTCCTTTATGTTGGTCTTTGCCTTTTTCGTTTTTTGTCTATTTTACTCCTTTGCTTTTAAATAGTTCAATTGTTCTCCGGGATTTAGCCGAAACTTGACCAGGTCTGCGGAATCTTTTCGTATTCGGGAACCCCTTTGCAGTGTTGCGATAACATGGACAATCTCAAACAAGTGCTGTTCACGGATGACCGGCCCTATTTTGACCACAGGCCGCAGGGAACGAGCCGATACGGAAACCTGCGGAAACGGAAACCTGCGGAAACAGCTGCAGCTGTTTCGAAACAGCTGTTTCGTCACGCTTTCCGCAGCGAAGCCCAGACTGGCGGAAGTGCGGAAAGAGAATCCGCATTTCCAGGGAACGAGCCGATACGGAAACCTGCGGAAACGGAAAACTGCGGAAACAGGTTTCGTCACGCTTTCCGCAGCAAAGCCCAGACTGGCGGAAGTGCGGAAAGAGAATCCGCATTTCCGCGTTTGCTGTACGGCGGAAAGTCAAAAACAGATTCCAGGCATGCGTTTGCCATTTAAAGACTGCGTGTTAGAGATAAGAGTCCTTCAGTGAACACATCACTCGCTCATATCGTTACACAAGGAGAGAGAGATAATGAAGACGCAAGCAGTATATAAGCATACCGCAGCCAATCCTGATTCGATGTCGTATTGGGATAAAGGCAACTAATCGAACCACCGAAGTGTCAAGCCTGAGTGTACCTTAGAGCACTTTCCAACACTCCCACGCGCTCAGGACTTGCACACGTTCATAGCTACACGATGCTTCACAAATTTCTCAGACGGCAAAGGCTTCGTTAGACAGTCAGCTACCATATCTTCCGACCTGCAATCTACCATCACGAGCGTACCGAGTGCTACCTGCTCCCGTACAAAATGATAACGCACAGAGATGTGCTTCGATTGCTTCGAAACAACCGGATTGCTCGCCAACCGAATTGCGCTCTGACTATCGCAATTAATCTGCGTTGGCTTGAGGTCGTAGCCGAGATCGCCAAGTAGTTGTCGCAACCATAAAGCCTCCTTAGCAGCTTCCGAAACAGCCATATACTCAGCCTCCATAGTGGACGCAGCCACGCTCCGCTGAAGTTCGCTAGCCCAACTAACTGTACCACCATGAAGAGTAAAGACGTAACCAGACGTTGACCGCCGCGAGTCAGCACAACCCGCATAGTCAGCATCGCTATATCCAACTAACCTCTCGTCTGCTCGTTCACCACCTAGGACTAATCCGTAATCAGACGTTCCTGCCAAATAGCGTACTACCTCCTTCGCCGCTTTCCAGTCCGACCTGCTAGGATTCGACATGTGCCGCGCTAAAACTCCCACGGCTTGTGCAATGTCAGGACGAGTACATCCAGACACGTACAACAAGCTGCCAATTAACTGGCTATACGGGAAACGCTCTCGATCCAGCCGATCTTCCACTGCAGCATTAGGTAAAACGGTTCCAGGACTCATAGGTACAGACTTCGGCCGTGCATTAGCCATGCCATAAAGACCCACAATGTCCTTGACCATACGTCCCTGGGAAACGGTAATTACCCTATTCGCTCGATCGCGCTTAAGGGTAAGACCCAAAAATAAACTTGCTTCTCCCAAGTCGCGGCACTCAAACCGCCGCATGATAGCCGCCTTCACTTCTGAAACAGCTCTCTCGCTCCAAGACGCAATCAAAACGTCGTCTACATAAACCAAAAGGTATACAATCTCGCCTTGTTTACGGCGCACTAATAAACTAGGGTCCGCACTTGACGCGACAAAGTCCATCCATGGTCCATCGACACTAATTCTTCACACAACGTGTCATACCATGCACGCGACGCTTGGCGAAGGCCATACAAGGCCTTATGAAGAAGACAAACTATCCCCGGGCATCCCTCTTCAAAACCGGGCGGTTGATTAACATCAATTTCTTCCTCCAAATCGCCATTCAAAAACGCCGTTTTGACATCTAACTGGTGTAATTCCATATCGGCGCCAGCCACCATGGACAAAAAGGTACACAAGGTAGTGTGGCGACTCACCGGCGCAAAGACCTCCTGGAAATCCACGCCCCCACGTTGCATAAAACCTTTCACTACTAGTCGTGCCTTGAAGCGCTCAATAGCCCCATGCTTGTCACGCTTCAGCGAGAATACCCACTTGACGTCAAGAGACCTGTTGTCCTTGGGCTTCGGCACTAAGGACCAAGTACCCTTCGCACGCAAAGACTCTTCAAGCATCGCAGCACGCCAAAATTCAGCATAGGGAGATGCCATTGCTTCCTCGTAAGATTCCGGAATATCGACATCATCATCCGACTCTTCCTCCATCTCTACGCGGAAAGCAAAACGCTTGGGTGGAACTCCGGCATTCGAACGCTTTTCCCTACTAAGAGCTAACGGCAAATTACTGTTCGTATTGGACGATCCTGCATTTGACGGCCCTGCGTTGGACGGCCCTGCGTCGGACGGCCCTGCGTCAACCAATCCTTCACTGACCTCCTCATCCACTTCACCGTCATCCTCACTCTCAGACTCGGACCAATCCGACGCCTCATCGTCATCAATCAACGGCCCCGGCTCGTCATCCGATCCCTCGTCACCAGCTGGTCCGCCTACAGGATCTATCTCGACCTCGTCCTCGAGCGCTCTCCTGGGGTCCTCATCGTCAGTATCGGAAGAGAGCGACTCCTCTATCGACTCGAGTAAAGACGCAACATCATACATGATTCCCTCATCGAAAACCACATCTACACTAACGCGAATCCGCCCTTCTGCTGGGATCCATACGCGCCACGCACTAAATTTAGGTTCATACCCAACTAAGATACTACTAATAATAATAATAGTACGCCGGCCGGGGCCTGGCGTGTGTTAAGGGGGTGGGGAACTGAGGGGCGGCGTAGCCGCTCCTGTATGCCCGCACCACCGTGGGAAACCGTTTGGGTTGTACCGGTTACTTGACTGTACCCTCCAGTACTCGCCGCGCCCGGATAATCGTGCCCGCTGCTTCGATTGTTTGCCGGTGGAGGTGCAGGCAGGTCTTCTGGGCCTGCTCAGCGGACGAGCCGAGTCTGCACAGTAGCGGTTCTAGTGTGTTGGTTAGTGTCCCAGTACTTCCCAGGGTGACAATTTGCGCCTCGGTGTAGTGCACCGTCCAGCCTGCTTTCGTGAGTTCCTCTGTTAGCCGTGCATGCTGTGCGGTTTTCTGTTCGAGTTTGTCGGAGTGCTGCAGGTCACTGGTGTAGCCCACTTCAACAATGTATACATCGTGCTTGGATTTGCACTCCGGCCCCTGGTACCGTTTGCGCTTGGTTCTGTGCGCGGGGAGGTCGGGGATGAACATGATGTCTGGGCGGAGGCGACGGATTTCCTCGTCCGCTAAGTGTGGCAGCATCCATTTGGGGACGCGCGTCCCACTGCAGTACGGCGGGAGATCCTCTTCTTTACCGGCGTCCATAATCATGAAGCCACCACCGTGGTGGCCCCCGTTGACGCAGTCGGCAATAGTGCGCGTCGCTTGGTTATGCCGGTTGATGTACATGCCCTTCATGGTTGGGTGGGGGCACCCGCCGAGTATGTGGGCTCCTGAGTCGGGTGTGGGGCCGGTCGGGCCGCAGCTGCGGCAGATAGGGCAGTTGCCGTCTCCGCCTCGTCCGTAAAGTTTCTTTAGTTTAGCATTGAATAGCAGCCCGTATCGAGCTTTCAGTACTTGCAGTTTGAGCCAGTGTGACATCTTTGCGTTACTAAGGAAGGAATTGCTAGATTTGGGGTCTAACTTCGAGGCGGTGTTACGCCATTTTTCAGTTAGTATTGTGTCGTTGGTATAGCCTGCGAAGGTACCTTGCTGGAGACGCTTATAAAGGCCTTTGTTCAGGTCACTAACGTACAGACCAGTGTCGCGTTGTTTCAGCCAGAACACTTTATCGAACGGGGCATTGTCGGCCTTTTCAGTAAATGTTGGTGGGTTCTCACCTCGTGCGACAGATGTTGCTCCTTTGTCAGCTTTGTCATTACCATCAAGGCCTGTGTGTGATTTCACTTTCAGGAAGTGAACGGTTGTGTTCTGTTGGGCGCATTCGTACAGTAGGTCGGCGATGTCCATTAATAAGGCTTTGTGCTTGGAAATATGCAGTTTACTCGGATCGTTTACTGCTCTTTTGATAAGATCCAGTGAGGCTTGCGAGTCAGTGGCAATTGTTAAGGTGATGTTCACTGCCCTTTGGGTTGATAGAGCTACGCGTATTGCTGCCAGCTCTGCCCGTTGGATGGTATTCGTACATCCTTCGCCCGCTGGGTCGATGTGCAGCGTTTTTCCGGTGGGTCCACAGTATGCAGCCGCACCCAACTTGTTCTGGCCGTCGTTTTCAGCCGATTTAATACAGCTACCGTCGGTCCATATGATAGTGTGCGGGTCCATCCTGAGTGGTACTTGTCCGGGAAAAGCTGCTGTCAGGCGCTGCTGGAGCATCTGTCCGTCCGAGTGGGGGGCTGTGGCGGTTGGTCTTGGTCTGGGCGGCTTTGAGGCATTCATCTTGCGCATGACCTGAGCGACTTTGTTTGGGTAGGGTCGTTGGGTGCCGACGCAGTGAGTACCCGCGGACATGTCCCGCAGTCGCAGATGTTTTCTGGGGAGGCCGGTGGCGTCCATCGCTTCGAGTTCGGATAGGAGCGCCTTCATGGATCGGGCGTTTAGTCCTCGGATCGCCGTGTCGTTGGCCACCACGACGAGGTCCAGGCCCCCCTTGTAGTCAGGGCTGGGGCCGTCAGTTCCAGTCCCGCTGGTAAGCTTGCACGCTTCACCGCGGCTCAGCCGCGCGAGCTGGAAGACATACGGTGTGTTGTGTAGCTGCGTGTGGGGGCCAGTTCGGCTGTGCGGGACAATGAGTAGTGGCGGTGGGCAGTGCGGATGTCATTGTGTGTGATGCGCCTGCGACTGCCCACATTACTGCCTTCTTGACACTGGTGGGGTCAGGGTTCGGGTGTGCTATCGAGAGGCCTGTAAATGGCTGAGAGAATGCATCTATGTTTGCCCCGAAGAGTTGGTCTTCTACGTGGACACTGAAGTAGTATTGCACC